CCTGCCCTTCAAGGCTTTGCTCTGAATATAGTGATGCATAATATTCCTGAGGAGTCTTGGGAGAGAATGCAGAGGGTCAAGTTTGCTTCAAAGCAGATCTTCAAACATCTGTTTGTACTTATGGCACGAATATTTAGCACAGTACAGCACATAGCTGCCTGTAGCTTCAAGGCAAACACAAATGCTAAGAGGTATTAAACACTCATAAACAAGATAGCCTGGAGCAGCTTATCAGATAGGTGGTAATGGGTGGGGAAAGGCTCACTATATATTTAAAGCCCAGTTGTTTTCCCACTGAATTTTGCCATGTCAGTAACGGGCGAGGGAGAGGAAGACTCTCGTGTGTTTTAGCCTGGAAATATTGCTCAGGTCAGTCAGTTCTAACTTGCTCCTGCTGTGGCTCCTGCTCGCTGTTCCATCAGGGTGTAAGGGCAGCCTCAGGCCAGCCACTCTCTGACTCATGAGAGGAAAGAGACAAGGGCCAATGCCAGCTCCATTTTTGACAGCTGGGTCACCACTATGGCAGGTTACTCCCATGGCAGAATGGAGATTACCCAAAAGGATAAGAGGTAATATCCCTGGCAGCAGAGGCCTTGCTAGCCGGCCATACAGGAGCATCTGGGGGAGACTCTGCCCTCAGATTATTGTTTGGTTGGAAAACAAATGAGCAGATGAAGACATTATCACCCTCTGTTGCTTGATACCACTCTACCACCAAAGGCTAGAGTGCAGCTGAGACACAAGGACACTTTTACTATTATCTGAGTGAGAGGTATCATGATTAATCTGATAGAAATTATTGGTGCTTTAGTCCTTTCCACACCTTCTAGGTGAATCATTTGGCTGGCTTGAATTGTCTATATCATCTCCTATTAGGATCAGATGATTGCCAGTTCTGGTGCAAAGAGGGGACAGAAACACGGGGTAGAAGCTGTAAGGACCTGAGGTACAGAAGCAGTGCTGTTTTTGTTGGGCATAAACTACTATAGACTACATCTGAATATTTCTAGTTCACAGTCTTCTGTCTAGTCTAACCCCATGTCCTTGGAGATTTCAACTCAGATGCCATTTGGAGCAGCTCTGCCCTGGACGTATGTTGACCGTAATCTTTGCCAGCAGAGCAGTAAAAACAGCTGGGTGGGTCAGTCACCTCACCATCATTTGCCAGACCTTATTTGTCAGAGGCCTAAATCACAACACAAACACTAGAAATCAGCCCAAAATGGATATGGCTAGACCACAAGACCTGAAAATTCTCTGAAAATGTGCAGCCTAACTCAATAAATAGTGCCTTCTCCAGGATAGATAATTTGGGTTCTCCAAGCAAAACAGTGCCAAAAAGAAAAGCAAATCACACCAATATTTTTGGCAATATGGAAACATCCCTGAATATTACAAGGTACTTAGTACACAGGCAGAAGCTTCCAATGTAGATCCACATTCACTTCTGCATTTCTGGAGGTGAAGAGGGGTTTTCAGTCATGTTGAGCTAATGCAACTGAGCCAACAGGAATTAAAGCTATGCCCTTTACTGCCTGTTGAGACATGGTGAAAGAAAGCAGCTACCTTAAATCAAAGGGTCCAGATTCAGGGAGGTACTCCAGCTAGAAATCAGAAGGCAGTTTACAGATACTTTGATAACTTGAGCTTTTATCATTCCATAGGCCCCCAAGATCAGTTGGTGAGAGCTGAGTAAGTTTCCTCATATGGTATTTGAAGGCAAAGACAATCTACATTTGCTTCCCACAGGCAAGCTCAGGCAGCTACAGCGTGTTATAAAAAGAGGAGATTAAATGCAAGTTTTGCAGCACTACTGTCTGCAAAGATACAATCGGTTCTATCATTAGGAGCTTAAGAGTTAGGATTTTAAATCTGGTGTAGGCACCTTTGAAGCACCAGTTTTGTCAAGAATATCCCATGCTTTGTCCTATCTTGAAAACTGAATTGTTTAGTTATTAGAAGAGATTAATGTAATCTCTGTGTCTATGAAATTGGCTTTTGAAACTGCTTGCTTACTGTACTATCTCCAGTGCAGTGAATGAAATCTCTGCTGGTATTCACGTTGCTATGAATTACGGGTCATACCTTGTTTGAGCCCAGCATGTGCTGGCATCACCAATGGGACAAAGTGCTTGGCAGGCTGCAGAAGGAGGCTCATTAGCTGGCAGGGAGAGCGAAGCTGCTGTTCTCCAGAGGCCACCAGCAACATACCATGTTGCTTTGGACCCTTAAGTGAAAGCAGGCCCAGTAAGAGGTGTACTGAGATGGCTGGGGCAGAGGGTACACAGCAGGAGCGGAGCTTGGGGGAGCTGGGTGGGTTTAGTCCATAGGCAGGGGGATAGAGGGTGATCTAACAGGAGCCTATTGTAAATCATGCCTCCCTCAATGGGGGACTGACAGAGCCCAATCCCTCCTGCAAGCAACAAATGGACAAATGAGGGAAAACAAGTCCAGGCTGGAGCTTGGGAGAGGAGAATGGACATTAGGGAAAACATCTCCCAAGAGGGAGACTCTCCATTCTCCATGTTTGGAGGCTTTGAAGACTTCACTAGACAATGCCAAAGCTGATCTGATGTAGTGTGATAGTCCTGTGCTAAGCAGGGTCTTCAGAGGACCCTTCCAACCAACATTTCTGTGTTTCTGTGCTTTTCCTAGTGAAGCAAATGAACACTGTTCAGCTCCATGAATATGTGAGTTTTTATGCTAGCTAAGGAGCTGGTCCTGCAGTCTTCCTTCTGAGAAACTAACAGTAAAGGTTAAGAAATCCTAGCCCTTCTCCTCCATGTTGCCTCCTCCTCTCTCAGCCAGCAGCAGCATGTTGTACTCTCCTCCAGCCCACACTTTGCCACAGAAACCTGACTTGTGGTCCTATATATGTGGTCTTGCCATGAGTGTTGACAGTCCAGCTGCTTCACTCAGATTTAAATGATAGAAGAAGGGATATCCCAGGGCAGGAGGCAATTGCTGCCGGTATTTCTGCTTTTTGTCAGCTAACCCAGACCATGCTTCCTTGCAGCAGGTTCTGTTCCCTTGACTATCCTGGCGATAGTCCTTTATTTCTGCTTCCACACAGACACTTCAGGAGGCTCCTTTTCTGCTAAACAGAGGAATCATGAAGCATTCTCTGGCCACCTGAAGCAATTTCTCTCTCTGGCCAGAGATTGGCAACTTCACACCCCAAACTCTGTAATGCTTGCTAGTTCTTTTCATCCTCTGGGTGTCCCCTCTTTTGGGAAAAGGGGACCTATTTGCTGAGTTTTTACTTACTCATCATGGCAGCACTGACAAGACAAGCTTCTAACAAGGCATCCCTCTGCAGTGCTGCAGCCCTACAGTGCTGCCCTGGGTAGCAGGTAAAATTAAAAACATAGGTTTTTAAATGGTATTCTTTCCTTTTTGCAGCAGCTGAAAATCTAACTTGTTTTCTGTCTTTCCCAGAAGTAACCTTGACTGCAGTGGCTTGAGAAGTGCCCTGGCAGTAGCAAGGTTCTTATTAATGACTGATTGCTGCAGTGCAATGGATGATTTGGTGCTCTGATACAGGGAGAATGGCAGAAGAGAAAGAAGTCAAATGAGGGGTGCCTGTAGTTGTTATGCTTCCCCTGATGAACCTGGCAGAGACTGCAGAAATGGCTATATGACTAATGGAAGTGCTTGAGCAATATGGGGAGCCTCACACCCCAAAACACCACAGGCACAGACAGTGTCACCACCAATACTGCTGCCCAACACTGATGGAAGGGAAAAAGAACCAACATCTGTATCCTCTGCTCTCAGACAGAAAAAAAAAAATCTTTTGTATTTTGATTTCTTTTGGACTTTGTAAACAGTTTTAGAGACTGTTTATATACAACTTGCTTTGTCCAGTTGGATACTTGTTCTGTCTGTTCTCTCCAGCTGTAAGCACCTCCTCACTAATTGCTCTTTCTTGGGCCAAAAGCTTTACTTTTGCCATCTGAATTCCATAATGAATTGACAGCACACACATAAAAAGTTCCAATAATGCCCTCAATGTCTCCCATGGCTCTGAGATGCCCTCAAGGCCAGACCCAAACTTCAAAGTGAAGACATGGCACTAAAGTGCTGCCTGACTTCAGGGCTTCTCTCCACCCAAGAGCATGCTGGTAGCCGAGTGCCTGTGCTAGCCTTTTCACCCCAAACTATATTCAGTCCACAATGACTTGTTCCCAGCAGCTCCGTTTGTTCTCCTCAGCTGACAGACAGCGGCCCCACAACCTTTGCTCACTGTCCCAGGTACCCTGACAGGGCCAGTCATTTTGGGGAGCTCTGCAGCAGCAGTATTGTGGTAGCTATGATGATCCTAATTACAACTGAATTGAGACAAAATGGAAAGCAAAGATGGCATCATGGAAAAATGCACACAGAGCAGCTACAGTTCCCTCAGAGCTGCACTAGCACCCAACACTGCACCTTGCTGGAATGTGCTGCAATTAGAAAGCCCACCCGCATGAAACACATTTTCATCTGTCAGGGATACTGTCAGAAGGCCTGGGGGGAGCTGCTACACATACTGGATTGTATGCATGCTTTGGAGCTGGAGGAGTACCAGCATGTGCTGGGAATTAACAACATTTTATACGCACACACAGCTTTACATGGTCTTACTGGTATATGAACGTTTGCTACTGCTTACAAGACAACTAAGTTCTGACCTACCTACAGAAAGGATCTTGGGTATTTTTTTTTAAAGGCAAATGGATAGGTCAGAATGGAATCATAGAATCATTTATGTTGGAAAAGAGTTATAAGATCTTCAAGACCAACCATTAGTACATCACTGCCAAGTCCACCGCTAAACCATGTCCCTCAGTGCCACAGCTACGCACCATTTACATACTTCCAGGGATGGTGACTCAACCACTTCCTTGGTCAGCCTGTTACAATGCTTGACAACCCTTTCAGTGAAAAAGTATTTCCTAATATCCGATGCAAAGATTCCTTTCCCACTTTGAGACAGGTATTCAGTGCTCTGCCTGTCACCAGCAGCAATGCTGTCATGTAAACCAACCCACAATCAAAAATGTCAAAATTTTGCAGTGACACCAGGCTCAGAGCCAGGTATTGATTTGCTGGCTCTTTCTGTTTCTTCCCTCATCATTCCCTGCAATTGGAATTATAAGGGAGAACAGTACCTGTGCTCCCGACCCCTTAAGCAACCATCCTGAAGCCCTGAAGTCTCTCCTGATTGCTCTTGGACTTCTTGGTGCAACTTCATTTCCGCCAACCTGAAAAAACAATAATGGATAATAATCTGAGGGCTGTATGAGGCTACTTAGGAAAAAGCCTAAGTGACTGCTATACTTTACATTTGGTTCTACCTTCTCCTGGTGCCATGATCCTGCCCATATCCATTCAATTTTTTCTTACAGTGAACTGCTTTGGAGCATGTGTGTCTTGTTCCTCACTGACTCCAACGTAGCATGATTCTGCTTATGAGCACTGGCTCTTAGGAACCACAACAGTGACATTAAGAAAGTTAGCAGAATCTCTATGATAAAATGCCTGGTTATACTATTAATAAAAGCCATCCACATATCTATAGTATTATTAGTTAATGCTGCTCTGCCTTTGGCTAGTGAAGCATAACTAGGTTATAAAGACAGATTTGTATCGATAAGGCTTCTAGACTGAAGAATTAAATCATATTTACCATCAGCAATGTGTTGTTAAAAGTATGAACTGAAAACTCACCAGTCACCAACCTTTAATATTGCCTGAGCACCAGAAAACCTGAAAAAGAAAAGTTCTTGACTCTGGCGCAGTAAGGCTGCCACTTAGATATTTTTGAAATTTAATTGAGCAAACGTCATCATTCCTAACACAAACCATCTTGCAGTGAGCATGCTTTTGAGCGCTCAAAGCAAAGCAGAAAGGAACACTAGAACCCTTAAGAGTTAGAAATTATTCCCATATTAGGTACTATTTCCACAGTGAGCTGCATTCCCAGTTTATCCATTTTCATTATGCCAATTTATTGCATTTATGTGCCAGGGATGTGCGTTTAGATTAAAATCTCATTTTTGTAGGTGCTACATGAACAAGTCATGAGACAGTCCCTGCTCCTGGAGACTCCAACATAGTGCCACGGTGACCTGGAAGCAGAGGATAAAGGACATGGCCAATAGGGAGAATCTGCAAATTGATGTGTCCAGCAAAAAGGCACATTCTTCAGAGCAGGCGAAACCTTGCTTTTAGGAGAAAAATTGTATGACACGAAAACGCACATGGGCTATGCAGACATCTCATTTATATTTAAGGGTAGCTGTAGTGCTCTGTCTCATAAAATGAGACAGATTAAAAGCCTGAGAAATTTCAGTCCCCTCCATCTAGGAAACAAGTGTATCAGGTGACCATGTTCCTCCACAGCGACCTGCCAATCCAAAATTTAAATGGATTTGGGAAGGAGAGGACAGTTCAGGCTCTGTACCCATTGCAGCTTGCCCTGTCTGTTCCCACTGCCAGCAGTAGCAGCATCTTCACCACTGCAATCTTCCTATTCTCAGAAAAAGGGGCTAAAAGAACTAACACTTCTACACCTCAGATGTGACAATAAATCCCCCCACGGTCTGCAGTGTTTTATAACAGCAACTTTTATTTTCCGAAGAGATTTTGGCATGAAGGAGCCTGACTGCGATAGTAAATGTGTGGACATGTCAAGTAAATGACTGTTTGAAAAGAGGGCTCAACCATGTAGCTAGAAAGTCATGAAGGACTTCAAGATGTACCTATACTGTGCCAAGTGAAGGTGCTGCATGGCCCAAGGTGCCCCCAGGATTAGGATCAGCACAGCCACATTGGTCAAAGCCTGGCTGAACAAGCTTTGCTTTTTTGCTACCATGTAACCCAGCGCTAATGCAGATATCCTCGTGTCCTACCCTCACTATCACCTCTGCCTGGCACTGCACAGCAGCAAACGATGGTACCAGCTGGAAACAGCTGCTACGGGGGTGCAGTGGGGACACATCTGCAAGCTTACACATCCTCTCTGTGTGGGACCTTGGTCTCTCCTTAATTCTCAGAGATGGCCTAAGGATCTGTTTTATAGGAGCTGGTAGGACCCAGTGGCACAGATGGGACATCCAAAGTAGCTTTAAATCCAGTGAGGGGGGGGGAAAGCAGCTGAGAGTAAGTAGTGGTGAGACCAGACACTGGAATCTGAAGGTACAGGCAACAGATTATTAATGAAGAGACTTCTTTAAGTGTCTTGGTAATGTGGCAGTGAGAAACCTTGTTATTACTGCTTCAAAAAGAGTGCATATATAACATGGTATTGTGAAATCTTGAAATCTTTGTACACAAATACAGTTAGGAGAAGAAAAAAGGAAAACTTAGCCATATTTCTGAATATACTCTTCTGAAAATAATGTTGACACAGCTAGAACAGGCCTGCTATATTCAACTCTCATGCACGTCTTCATTCCTATGGTTTAATAATCATAACGAAATATGAGGGGAAGGTAAATAGTCTTCATTCCACATCTCTGAGGATAATAGTAAGAAGGAAGAGATTTCAAACATTGTTAATGACTTGTAGAGCTGCACATTGCTTAAAACATTGACCACAAGCCAAGAAATACCCCTCAAGGCTGCAATCAAAAACAGTTTTTGGCTCTGTGCTGTGAACAGAAACTTTATTTGATCAACAGTTATTGCAAGACTTGCTGTTGAGAGTCTGGAAGCTCCTCTCTAATGTGGCACCCCTCACTGCAGCCAAAGCCTCCTGCGTGGCAAAACTCTGGGCTCATGAAATGCAGCTCTGGCTCACAGCTTCAGGTTAATCATGATGACCACTGAGGAGAGCTTTGACGCTTCCCCCTTGGCTACCATAGAAGTCTGTGTAACTTTTCATGGGGAAATAAGAGAGATCTGAGACTGGCAAAAAAACGCCTCTGTTTTTGTGACAGGATGTTGAGTTGGGAGAATGAAATCAGCTGAACTAGATTTTGTGAAGAGGTTCAGCTTTCTGCTTTCAGCAGTTGTACAAGTACAGGGGCAATCCCTGGCCTATGAGCCTCGCCAGGCTAAGAAGAAAACAGATGTGTATGAGGCCTCCCAGCCAGAAAATCACCCACCTGCCAGAGAATACTGGTAGAGAGAAAATGAAGGAACTGAAAATTATTTTTAAGAGAGTTTCTCAGAAAAATGACAGACTTTCTCAAAATATTTTATTTTTTTTTTTAAATGTGAAAAGTAGACATTTAAGTTGAAATTTGGAAAACTTAAGGTCTATTATTCCTATATCAGAAATGTGTTTTCTTCAAAAAAGAGTTTTGAGAAGTGCTTAAGAGGAGTTGTTAAGAGCGGAAAGTAATTTTCAACAAGAAACAACAAGCTATACTGATTCGAGAAAACCAAATGATACTGACTACTCCTGAATACCACACACCAAACCCTATCCAACTAAGTGCTTAGGGACATATGGATATTTGGCATCTCCATGCTGGTGGTTTGGTGACCTGGCAAAAGAGAACCTTCTCCAACAATGAGAATAAAATTTAAAAAAAAAAAAATAACAGGCCCCTGTTCAGCAAAAAGAAACCAATGGGGCACAGAGAATTCTATGTATGTCAGAGACACAAGAGCTCTGATGCAAAAAAATCATGAGTTGCCTGAGATCCTTGGGAGAGAATAAGGAATTTCAGACTAACGTGCCATAGGAGAGAGCCCTAGAGCCCAGACAAGCAACTGGGTGCTCACAGAGGTCATGAGCAAAAGGGCCAGAACACAGAAAAACTAAACAAGCTGGAAATAGATGTATTTTGGGTGTGTGATGTATGCTGACCCCAAAACTGGAACAGGTTGCCTAGAAAAGTGGGTGTCCCATCACTGGAAATGTTAAAAGTCAGGTTGGATGATCCAGTGACAGATGTCCCTGCCCACAGCAGAGTGGGGGGACTAGATAGTCTTTGAAGGTCTCTTCCAACCCAAATAAAATTATCATTCTATGATTTCCTATTTCAGCACTAAAGTAAGAAGCCTAAAATTTGCTGGTTCTGACCGTCTGAAATACCATTAAAAGCAATGTGCCTTTTCCAAGTACCATCTATGGTGTGGTTTTTTTCAAACAGAAAAACATTAACATCACTTCTCTCCTTCTCAACTTCTCCCCCCCCTCCCCAAAATGGGGCAACACAAGGAGTTTGCAATGAGTTTTAGAGTCTGTGACTTTCTTATTCCAATCCAGATAGTATGAAAAGAGGGCATAATAAACAGTTATGTTCAAAGATTTACCTTTCTAACAAGAGGGAAGATAGAGTGGCAAAGTACAGAAGAAGGGAAACACTGGGAAAGAGGAAAACCATGTGTGCAGTGTTGCCTCCAGGCTTGACAGAAACAAAACAAACCACATACAGGAAAATAGAATGCTTATTTCCAGTGAGAAATACACAGCTTAATATCCCAGCTAAAGCCAGGTGGAGAGTACAACAACTCTGTGTATCCCTGTCATATGGCCAAGGTGAGCATTTGCTTTCTGCAGAGTGGCCTTGGATGGGCAGAGAGACTTTTTCTGTATGTCGGAGATTATGCGACTGTTACATCCGATCCCTACTTCAAAAACCACGTAGTGTTTCCATAGCATGGTAATGGTTGCAGGTACAGGTATCAACAAGTGAGGTCTAGAGAAAGGGTGGAGGGGACACCCCAGGCTGCTGGGAGCAATTAAAGCCCATAAGAAAGGTTGGTACTTACTACTGTGAACAAAAAGCTCATTTTTAATTAAAAGCAAATCCCAAGAAGAGTGTGTTGCATCAGATGGCAGCACACACAGATTTAGGGCACACTGGGGAGTTCTTCAGTGTTGACCCCTGTATCTTTTGTCTCCTGCCTCAATAAGCCATAGAGGTGTTCAGATGCAATTCTGTCAATGTGCTCTAGAATCACCCTGCTTGAGCAGGGAGGTTGGACCAAATGATCCACTGTAGTCCCTTTCAACCTGATCCATTCTGTGATTCTGTGGTATTTGGGAATTACTACAGAGGTAGACACAGCACCTAAAACCCCTTGTGCTTCCTTGACAGGGTGCTGAGGGCCAACAGTGTGGCACTGCTCCCATTCATGTCTCTGTGTAACCATGGACCTGTGGCTGGACTCCTGGTTTGTAAATACTTCACCTGAGATCAGGTGCTGGCCTGGTCCCCAGCCAACTCTAGCGGCAGAGGATTGTGAGGGTATCTCAAAGCTTGTCCCTTCTCTTGTAGTAAAGGCAGTCCCTGAAGTAGACGCT